TTGTTATACGCACTTCTACCTATACATCCTCTCCATTTCTGGTGTTTAGTAACTGTTGATATCTGTCATGCACAAAAGCGTTTGGATTTCGGGATTTGGCAATAATGAAAATATTTCGACCTGGAGATACAGCCCTTGCCCATGTCATAATGGCCTTAGGATGTCGATTTAATTGGCGTGGTAATACCTTATCACAGTGTAGCAAACCATTTGGGTAGCGCTGCTAAGCAGCGCCATCAAGTAAACTGAATATGCAGATGTCTCTATACCTAGCAGCCTATAAATGGCCATCTTTAAATATATTTTGTAAACAAACAATCGATTGGTGTGAAATAACCATGCCTAAGAACAAAATCGGCTTGGTGAAACAGTACTGGCTGGAGTGAATTGCTTTTTTCAACGCACTTAGTTTGCCATGGAATTTGAAGACTTGCATAATTTTGCCCTCTCACAACCGGTTTTCAGTCATTTTATCAAGTAACGTGTTTTGGGAAGACGTTGTGCTGTACATTGCGGTAGCTTAAGACAAATTAAGTTTCGGTTAGAAAGCAAACATTTTCTAATCCACAAGGATCATTGACGCCTACTCTATTTCGAGGTTAATGCCATCCACTGGCTTGTTGATATAAAATTGGGCATTAAAGCAGTCTTATAGTAAGGATTGCCGCTAGCATTCTACCAAATTAGCTAACGTGTTTTTGTCAACGAACGGGACCAACCAGCAATCCAAATAGCAATAGATGCAGAATTGTTTAAATGGCGCATCTCAGAAGGCTTCAGTGATATTGGACGTTGTGGGGTTGGAGACCAATCAAATGCACGAATGGAGATCTGGTGCCTATATTTTACTCACTAATAGCCATATTTGTTCTTTCCCATCCCTACATAAGCCATCTAAGGTGTATGCACTTTAGTCTTCAGGTAGATCTTTGATTTGGCAGTCTAGCGATTGCCAATATTATGCTTCCAAAGTCCGTCTGTTCTTGTTGGAGGTGCTGATAGAGTTCGGGCTTAACAGCTGTGACGCAAGTGACGTGATTTGAGAAGCATTGTAAGAGCCCCAGGAGTAGCCTCGAAGAAGAATTATTGTGACTCTTGTGACAACTGACAGTTCCGCATGCAAAGCTGAAGTTTCTGCTGTCTGACCAATGCCGGGATGAAGTCAAAACCATGGTTTATACTTTTAAAGGGCTGACACATCTGGTACTTTTGAATGGTCCGTGCTGCTTTTGATTGTGTAAAATTTTTGCAAAAGTTTAGAATTCTTTTGTTTTATCTGCAACTAATGAGTAAAATTGTTTGTTGTAAATGATATTTGCAAATCCTGCAA